CCTCTGGGCCGGTGGGGCCCAACCTTACAGAGCCCCTCCGCACTCAGAGCTGGGCTGACACCTTTACACACAACCAAAGTCACAGGCGGAGGTTTCCGCAGACCATTGTTTCTAGCTGAGATATCTGAGGCCATTTCCTCACCATTTCCCGTCATTGTGATGGGAGGAGGGGGTATTGTCCTCTAATAATGAGTGGGCAGAGGACACTCCATGACATGTATTCTTTGAGCCGGTGACTTCAGAGATCCGAGTGGCGCGTCTCCTCTACAGCCCGTGTGCCCTGGACTCGGGGCTCCCCCAGGCAGGCTCTGGCAGCTCGTGGATGGAGTAGGGACAAGGTCATGGCAGACCCCACAGTGAGCAGGGAGGGGACACGCCCAGCAGAGGGAAGAACGACCCCGCCTCCACATCCCCGGGGCTGAGGCCCCAGCTCAACCACACTTGCTTGTAAACAGCTCCCTTTTAGCCCCACCTGCCCGACAGCTTTCCCCGCTCTTGAGACAGTCATGTCCCCCAAGCAGGGAACGGAGGACACTTGCCCAGAGTCTCCAATTTGCAGTTGGGAGGCTTCAGCGCGTCACACAGGCCCCAGACACCAGTGTCCCTATGTGTTTTGCCCAGTCTCAAGGTTTCATCTTCTCGTGCTGATGAGAACAGCCGCGAGGTCCTCACAGCACCTGGAAGTATTTACGCGCATTCTGGCGTGTACACCACTCTAGGGCTCACACCATCCTCACGGGCCCCTCCTGGCCCTGGACAGCACCATGTTCTCTCTCCACCTCAGTGCACTTGATGCTTGCAGAGGCCCCCACACGTGGGGTCAGGCAGGGTCTGTCCCTGAGACTGGACTGTCTCAGGAAGGACAAGGCCCCCAGGTTCACCCATGAGGTTGACAGGGCAGGATTTTCTCCCTTTTTCAAGATTGAATAATATTCCACCCCAGAGTCGGCTAACACCCCTGAATCTTCACTGACCTTGTCACCTTCTCCCATCTTTATGCTGGTCACACTCCCACCAACACCTGTCAGAGTTGCCCACCTCATGTTAAACGTCTTTGACGGCCATGATGAAAGTCCTACAGCTCAGGCTGTTTCCCGTGACCCTGACGTCCTTCACCCCTGGAGACGGTGCTATTCCTCCCTGGAAAAGGGCACTCAGGGCCATCAATATGGGGCTGCAGTGGGGAAGTTCCCACTTAGTCTCAACTTGAACGTCGCCCTGAGCTGTCTCCGGCCAGCCTAACCCCTCTGAGGATCACTGGGTCTCTCTGGGGTCATGGGCAGGTGTGACCTGGTTTGGATTTGGAGCTGGACCAAAAAGATTCGATGAAGCTTGTATTTCCGAGATCCTGAGTAGTGCTTAACCAAGACCCCCTCGCAATAAAAATCTCACCTGCCATCCTCATCCCCTCTAGGATACAAGACTCGGGGCCAAACGTCACAGGAGGAATTTAATCCAAGGGAGACGCCAGATCAAATGCACAGTCAGTTTGCACCGACACAGCGTCACCCTGAGCTGGAAACCCCTGGACTGTGGGGACGGCCATCGGGACGTGCGTATCCCTGTCTGGGGACTGTGTGAAGGACCCTGGCACAGCCTTGATGTTCATTCCCCCTCGGATTACACTTTGATTCTGAACTTAGTCCTCCCACAGGGAACATGGGAAACTTTCTGTGCTCAGCTGCTCATTAGGTCACCCCAGTAATTGCCCAGAGCTGTCCCCCATCAGCCGAGGTAACTGACGGTGAGGGACTGGGGTGAGACCCCCCGGAGCCTCTCAGACTCTCCACACAGACAGTGTGTCTGCGGCAAGTGACGTGCTGACAGGGTGTCTGTGGGGAGGGCAGGGCAGGGATCACTGTCTCTATAACAGGCCAGGCCTGCTGAGCTCTCCCTGCACAGTGCTGGGAGGGAGCCTGGCCAGGTGAGTGCTCCCCTGTGCCCTGTTGGGGGTCTCCGGGAGGGGGGAAGGCTCAGCCTGGGTTGTGCAGGACTCAGCAGGCTGGGGCTGGATTCACTCCAAGTGTTTGCTCTGTTGATATTCATGTGAACGGGGCAGTTTCTTCCTTTCTCCTTCAGATGTTTCATGGGGGGAAAGTGACTATTTGGGTTCCCGCCACAGCTGCCAACTGGCTTCATTGATTCCAGCAGTTTTCTGTGACTCTTTGGATATTTCTCTACCAAACCATTCCTTCCTTTTACTTCTGCCTTCTCCACGCTGTCCCGTGTCTCTTAGTCTTGCCCGCACCCCGCTGGCACCCTGTGTTCTGGGGCACGAGGGAGTCCTGTCCCATGGTGGGCATTAGAGCAGGTGCGTGGAGCCTCTCCGCTGAGTAGCCCCTGGAATGCGGGTGCTCACCATGTTGAGTTACGTTCCTCTTATGCCCAGTCTCTGGGGCTGCTGTTTCTTCGATCACGAGAGGAGGCTGTGACTGGGACAGCCTTTTCTGCCTGTCCTAAGACGACCCTGTGGCTTCCCAGCATTAGTACCCGGGCACCTCGGCTGGCCGGTGTGTCCTGAGCGCTTGTGTCTCAAGCATGGACCCCGCTGGGTCACGGTGCTAAATCCATTTAACGTGCCCATGAGGGTGTGTCCTCGTGTCTGTGAGTGTGTGGCCCGTCTCCCCACCAGATGCTGGACACGGTTGGCTCCTCTTGTGTGTCCCAACCAGGTTTCGCATCAAGGTAAAGCTGGCTTCAAACACCAGCTTGGATGTTTTGCTCATTCTCAGTATGTTGTAAGAGTTGCAGGAAGTGGGTGATTCCTTCTGTTTTGGGAGAATTTGGATTCTCTGCTTTCAGAGGTTTGTGATGAGTGATTGAATCTCTTCACTTATCAGCTGTTTTGATTTCCTCTGTCTTCCTGAAGCGTCTGGTGTGTTGTGGGTTTCTAGAATGTGTCCACGTCCTGTTGGCTGTGCTGCTCCTGGCTGGTCCCCTTCAAGGTGGTCTCTTAGGATTCTGTTTTTCTGCAGAGCGAGGGCGGTGCCCCCTTTCACTACTGACTGCATTTCTTTGCATCTCCTCTCTTGTTATTCTCGCGAGAGATCTGTCCATGTTTCTTGGTCTTTTGAAGTCCCAGACCCCAGTTTACCTGTTGCATTTCCATGTTGTCCTCACCTCTACTTCACTCATTTCTGTGCATGTTTTCCACTCACTTCCTTTTGCTTCCTCTGGGCTTACTTTGTTCTCCTCTATCCTTGAGATATTATTTATTTGAAACTTTAAAAATGTCCCACCGTGTGCATTTGTTCCTACAAACTTTCTTTCTACAACAGCTTTGGCTTCATCCCAGAAGCCTGTGGAGGCACCTTGGAGGTCACCCTCCTTTTCCAAAGGCTGCCTCTAAAGTTCTTTATCGCTCACTCCTGTACTACCCCATTTATCGAAGGTCTTCTCTTTTTTTGAAATGATTATTCATTTAGTATACAAGAGCTGGGGTACAGGCCAGAGGTGTGTGTGGAGCCGAGGGTGAGAGGATTCACCAGCAACAGTGCAGGGAACAGAACAGGCAGATTGTCCCAAATACAATGCAGAGGGGAGCAGCAGGTGAGCCAGGAGAGGTCTGCTGGGTCATGTGGGTATCTCCCTGGGTGACTGGGGATTCGAAGTGGTGCTTCAGTGGCTGCGGTCAGCTTCAAGGTTACATCTTAACCCCTTGCAACACCAGGAAGGCCCTATTGAAGGTCTTCTCACATTAAGTTATTGTGTTCGCTTAGATTCTGAGCCTGGACGTCCAGCTACATTCTGAAGGGCAAATAGTTCTGACTGTCATGTCCTCGAGCAGCCTCCTGTTCTCCTGCTCTGCACAGTCATCCCTACAGGCCTGTCCTGGTGTTCACGTGCTCCTCTTCCATGTGAACTGCTTCTTCAACGCTGCTTAGTAAGTTCTCTTTCAAATTGATACTTTTCTGCTCCAGAATTTCCTTATTTTTTCACTTCAGTCCTTGGGGAGAGCCTCCTCTGCTCGACGATATGATTCCCAAGGTCCCCACATCACCCACTGCGTTTCTGAGGCTCTGTGAATTTCCTCATCACAGCTGTCCTGCACTCTTTAACCAGGTGAGCACAGATTCCTGGCGCCCTGGTTAGCTGCTGGGATATTCTCATCAAGTGATGACATTAATGCTTTCTCACCGCACTGATAAGTGCCTGTGCCACCTCATTTACAGGGTGAACATGCTCCTCCAAGTAAGGTTCTGCCCATCACCCCTGATGCCTCATCAGTGGGTAGGTGGGATCCCAGATTTGTTGTCCATGCGAATAGCTTGACTTTCCTTTGCCAGAGTTCTCACCCCGCTAGATTAGGAGCCCCTGAATAAAGAGTCCCTTCATCCCCCTCTGCCTCTGTCTGCAAGGCTGTGCCCCCTTGTCTGCCCAGCAGGGGCTGGTCTGGGTGCCTCAGCTACCAGAGACCCATCTGCCCACATGTGGATCCACAGCAGGTGGCTCTGCAGGGGCAGCAAGTTTCCTGAGCTCATAGACCCACACTGCTGGGCAGTGAGAAACTGAGGAGAAACAGGAGTCAATACGAAAAAAGATGTTGGATGTGATTCCGGGGTCAGTGATGTGCTCCCCAGGCTCAGCTCCTCTGGAGACACGACAGTGGCTGCTTTCCAGGGACGGATGGCTGAGATCATTGCACAAGGATGAGGAACAAGGATGACAGCAGAGCCCGCACCCCCTTCAGCCCCGCTGAGGCGCTCTCCAATTCCTTCTGGAACCACCACCATCAAACTGCGGGAGAACTGACCATTCTGATCACTTGTCTTTTATTGATGGGGGTGGGGACCCTAGTCAACATCCTCCTCTTCTTGCAAAACTTCTCCCCAATCATTTCAGGATGCAGGCAGAAGCTCCCCAACACGATTCTGTCCCACATGGCTGTGGCCAACGTCTTGGCTCTTCTTTGCATTGGGATCTCAAACACAATGGCAGCTTTTGTGCCCAGGGAGCCCCTGTCCTCTCTTGGGTGTAAGTTTTTAGGCTTTATTCACAGGATGGCCCGGAGCACCACGCTGTGCTCCACCTGCCTCCTGAGCACCTCCCAGCTCTTCACTCTCAGCCCTGGAAGACTGGGGTGGACGGTGCTCCCGGAAGTTTTCCCCAAGGCCCTGGGTCCTTCCTGCAGCACCTGCTGGCTGCTCGGTGTCCTCATCAATACCTACGTTCCTGTGAAAGTCACTGGTCCACGGAGCGTAGACAATGGATCTGAGCCCCAGGGGTCCTGGTTCTGCTCCGGATCAGTCTCCAGCGCTGCTGTTGTGGTCCTGTGGTTGGTGCCAGATGCCATCTTCATCGGCCTCATGGGCTGGGCCAGCATCTCCATGGCCCTCCTCCTGCAGAGACACCAGCAGAGGGTGCGGCATCTCCACAATCCAAGGGCCGGCCGGGGGTGCCCCCCAGAGACCAGAGCCACCCGCACCGTCCTGATGCTCATGGTCATGTTTGTCAGCTTCTACCTGCTGAATTCTAGCATTGTGTTCTACATGACTCTCTCCTTAGAAAACTCTCTGCTGCTGATGCAGGTCTCTAATGTCCTGGAGTCGTTTTTTCCCACTCTCTGCCCCTTCTTGGTGATCCTCAGGGACCCAAGAATGCCTATATTTTGTGCTCCATTTTTCTGAGCCCGCAGGTGTGCCTCCCTCACTCCTGATTCCCCACACAATGGAAAATGAGAAGCCATGTTGATTCAGCCTCCCCACTCTGCGTACAGGTGAAATATCATGCTCTGCTCCGTGTCCAATGTGCAGGTAGGGATGTGACAACAGACCACCAGGGTCCCTCCACAACTCTCATCGGCCGTGGTGACTGCCTTGTTGGGGGAAGGGGTGCCGTGAGGGTGGTCTTCGGTGGGCAGCAGTCTGCACGGTCGCCAGCAATGACACGACTTGCTTTGTTTGTGCATCTTCAATTCTTGTTCCATGCAAAACCTGCACTTTGGATGGTGACTCCACTCCCAGAATTTTGACAGATCTTGACAAGCCCTCTCTGAGAGACACAGATGTGCTTTGCGATGAGGGAGCCAACTAGGTCATGGGCTCCAGCCCAGAGGGCTTATTCCTGGGCTCCTCTGGGTCACCCACAAGGCTAGGACAGCAGCTCTCTGCATCCTTGTCATCGGGGTCAGTGGGGGATGTTGCCAATTCACAACCTTTCTTCCGAATATACATCCCCTCACACAGGCCCATTAATTCTGGTCTGTGCTGAAAGCATCCCTTAACGTTGTATTTCAAGAGTGATATGAATATTGTTCTCGGAAATTTTAAACAGCGGTTACAGTCTGAAAAAGATGAGGGAGACAGGGCCTCTCTGGTGGCTCAAGGGGTAAAGCACCACACTATGAAGCGATCCGCAACCTCTGCTGCTAAGTTCCATTCCAAGCCGGCCTGGGAGCAGCCCGCGTGGTGCAGCAGACCTCTCTGACTCGCCAGCGGCTCCCCTCAGCAGTCCACTTTGGTCAGTCTGCCTACTCTGTTCCCGGCTCTGTCTCTGGTGAATCCTCTCAACCCCCCACATCTCTCCCAGTACCCCAGCTCTTGTATGCATGAATAAATAAATCTTAAAAAAAAAAAAAAAAGATGAGAAAGACAGTGGATCAAGAGATCTTGGGCAGGTGTTCCAGCAGAAGCAGAGCTGGGTCATCAGGCCAGAGCGGGATGTGGGGCCAGCGGGCCCTCTCCTCTCCCAAGAATGGCTGGTCTCCAGGGGAAGCGATGCGTGGGCCCCTCGTGGACTCGATGACCCGGGAGAGCCAGGGATGCTGGTGCTATGTAATGCACAGGAGAGGGGGCGGGATGGGTCTCGGCTCCTCCTGTTAAGATGAGGCATGGGTGGGAGGTGACGGTCCCTCCACCTCCCCGAGGAAGCACTGGGGACAAGGGGTCTACATTTCTGTGGAAAATACTTCCTGCCTCCCCCGTGTGTGGGGAAGAGAGAAAATATGGCGCAGTCAACCACAAGGAGCGAACGTCTCATTTGGAGATGGGGAGAGAGCAGCAGCTTGTGCTGGGGACAGTGCTCGGCGAGCAGGGGAAGTTCTGGGCGCTGGAGGCCGAGGACTGGCTCACTCTGCCGGGCAAGCGGCAAGTAGGAAGGGAACACTCAGCTTTCCAAAAAAGCAAACTCAGTTTTGCTGACTTTTCCGGTGTCTTCCTCGTCTCTGTCCTTTCCTCTCTCTGGTCCTCGTGACATCACTGGACGGCCTCTCCCTGGCGGTGCCATGTCACATCTAATCGCTGCAGGGTCGGGGCTGTCCAGCCACGAGGGTCCCTTTCCACACCCGATTCAACCCCTGCGCCCTTCACCTGCCCCAGACCCAGGAGGACAGAGGCCTGGTAGGGAGAGGCACTGCAGTGGGTGGCCCCACAGGCAGGACTGCTTCCCTGGCACAAGTGTCTTCACAGGCGAGTCCCCATCTGGGGCTCCTGCTCCTTCTCAGGGTGCACTGACCCCTGCTCAGATCTCCTGCCTCAGGCGCATCACACATCTGAGCTCAGGCGATCTCTCCTTAGATAGTGGTCACCACGTCTGTGGGGCTGGGGGCTGAGTCTCAGGCTGTCACCGCTGCAGCACCAGTTTGATCCCCAGCCAGGGAGCTGACCCACATGGCCCAGCTGACCTCTCCTGTCTCCCCGCTGCTCTCCTCAGCAGTGTTTCAGTGCACCCACCTGTTCTGCTCCCCACTCTGTCTCCGGTGAGTCCTCTCACCCCCCACACCTCTTCCCTGCACCCAAGTTCTTCTACACATAAATAAATATTTAAAACTTAAAATCTGGTCAAAACGTAAGTGGGCTTCAGCAGTATCAAGGAGGAGGGTGGTCACTCACCACTGCGGCAGCGCAAGCCACGGTCACCAGGGAAGGAGGCCCCATCTCTTGGGGATCTCAATAACAGGTACATGGAAGGACAACCGCATTTTTGTCACTTCTGCTGTTCCAGGCCTACAGCCCAGATGTGATCACAGGAGGTGACCATCTTTCTATGAGCAGCTGTCATGGATGGACCCGTCTCAGGGTGGACTCACGTATTTTTATTTATTGAAAACTTAAGAGGTTACTTTTTGATGGAGATATTTTACACATAAAAACTGAAAATATCGAAAAATCCTGAGGATTTTCTTATTCTTCTTAACAGAGAACTGGGGGCCACATTCATGCTCAAGGCCACAGGCTGGTGGTTGGCAGAAAGAGAGAGAGAGAAGCCAGGTCACCTACAAGGGGAGGGACTGATCCAACATGCAGAAAGACTCAAAATCAAGAAAAAAAGAATCAAAAAGTGGGACAGACTCTGAATCTGAGCAAAGGGCTCTCCAAGGAGACACAGAAGCCGACCCGCAGGCGGAAGGAGCTCAAGATCGCTCCCTGCAGACGCGGTCACGCCCGGGATGGGGTGGGGGCACCTACAGCAGGATGACAAGAGAGTGGATGATGCCCGGAGGCCCCTCAAACATTAATGGCTGGAACAGCAATGGATGCGACTGTCACAGACAATGCTGGGAAGAGCCCATGTCGTGTTATGAATAGAATTGCCCGAGGACACATGGGCCTCCCCGGTGGCGCAGCGGTTGAGCGCTGGGTTGCGAAGCTGCCCGTGGCCTCTGCAGCGCCGGTTCAATCCCCGGCTGCTCCCGGCCACCGGAGGAGGGTCCCACATGGCGCGCAGACCTCTCCTGCCACCCGCTGCTCCCCTCAGCAGTGTCCTTCGGTCCTTCTGCCTGCTTTGCTCCCCGCTCTGGCTCTGGTGAATTCTCTCACCCTCCCGCGCTTCTGACTGTACCCAGTGCATGTATAAACAAGAAAACAAATAAATAAATAAATAAATAAATAAAAAAACATGCCTCTATAAAAAAAAAAAATATAAAAAAAAAAAGAATTGCCCGAGGACACAGACACAGGAGGGTGAAAATCTGAAGGACATGAAAAGACAAATTCTGACACACAAGGGCCTGCAGGTGCCCTGCAATAGCCCAGAGTGAGAAAGAACCAGAACCTCAGCAACAGATGGGCAGCTAAAGAAGAGGAGGCGCGTGACTGGTGGAATACTACACAGCCGGGAAGATGGTAAGACCCCGGCATATACAATGAATGGATAAAACTGGAAAATAGGTGCTCAGTACGAAACGTCAGGTGGAGAGAAACACCGTATGATGTCACCTTACGTGGAGTGCGATACATACATGGGCTAAATAACTGAAAACATCCCCTCAGACAACAAATACACTATTGTGGCCACCCGAAGGGAAGCGCACGGATAAGCAGAGCACTGACACAGCATGACGGGACACCCGAATTCTGTGAGGGTGATGCAGGGGTTTATGCCCAGCCCTCCACAGTGTGTAAACCAACATTCCACGGATGGGACACGCGGGTACAGGAAATGGTTAGGAAATGGGCAACTGTCGAAGCCAAGGCTGCTCCTAACAGCGCAGGAGCAGAGCCTTCCCTGTCTGGAACCCCTGAGGCTCATCAGGAAGAGGCAGAGTTTGGGAAAACAGGACAGCAGGAGCTTGGACACCTGCATCAGCCACAGGCGGGTGTCTCTGAAGGCAGACATGTAAAAGGTGAGCATAGAATTCAGCAGGTAGAAGCTGACGGGGTGACCATGAGCCTGAGGACAGTGCAGGTGGCCCTGCTCTTCGGGGGTCACCCCTGGATGGCCCTGGTGGCATGGAGATGCCGCACCCTCTGCTGGTATCTGTGCAGGAGGAGGGTCATGGAGACACTGGTCCAGCCCATGAGGACGATGAAGACAATATCCGGCACCAAACACAGGACCACGATGGTGACATTGTGGCCTGAGGACGAGCAGAACCACCCCCCATGGGGCTTGGAGCCATCGCTCATGTGCCCTGGACCACTAACTGTGATAGGGATGGAGATGATGATGAACGTACTGAGCAGCCAGCAGGTGCACCAGGAATGATCCCCCTGGGAAACCTCCCCCACTCCTGGGAGCATTGTCCACCCCAGTCTCCCGGGGCGGAGCGTGAGGAGCTGGGAGGTGCTCAGGAGGCAGGTGGAGCACAGCGTGGTGCTCCGGGCCGTCCTGTGAAGAAAGGTTACCAATTTCCACGCACGCGTGGACAGGGGCATCCTGGACACCCAGGCGGCCATCAGGTGTGGAACACTGGTGCAGAGGAGAACCAAGACGTTGGCCACGGCGAGGTGGGGAGCACGGTGCTGGGGGGCGTCTGCCGGGGCCCACAAACAATGGGAACGTCATGGACAAAGCAGACAGTACTGGCCAGCGTCCCCACCCCCGCCTGCACGAGGAAGAGCCACGTCAGGGCCTGTGCTGCTGCGGGGCCCAGGGCAGGGCACTGGGGAGATGGGGAGAGAGCCCTGTGGTGTGCCCGGGTGAGGGCAGCCACGCGGGACCCCTACATCGGGACCCCTCTGTCACAGGGCATGTCCTGGAGCAAGTCCCCTGAGCTCTAGCTTCCCTTTGGGGAGGGGACCTCGGCCGGACATCGCCCACTCAGCTTGCTCCTGCTGCTGTCTCCATCCCGACTCCCCCGGCACGTGAGGTCCCTGACCCTGGACCCGCTCTTGGGGACCAGAGAACGACACACGGAGAGGGAGACTCGGCGGAGCTCGGGTGAGCACAGGACAGGCCACGCGCGCCG